ACCCTGAGATACATTGCTATTTATCAGTGGAGTGGACAAGAGGAGCCTGAGAAGGAGACTGTGAAGAGTGGCCGAGAGGTAGTCAGAGAACCAGGGTTTGGTGGTATTGCAGAAACCAAAGGCAGAGAGAGTATCAATAGTGAAGGGAAAATCAAAGACTCAAATATTGCAAAGAGGTCAAAGAAGATAAGAATGAGAAAGTATTCATAGGATTGACAACATAGGGCAATTACAGGAAATGTAATGGGAGAAGTCATACTGCAGTGGGTTGGGGAGTGAGAAAGTGAACATATCAAATAGAGACTACTCTTTTCAAGAGCTTTGATGTAAAGGGAAAGAGAGAGGATAATAACTAGATGGCAGGAGGTATCAGTGAAGGTGCTTTGGTTTTGCTTTGTTCTATTTTGCTTTCAAGATGGAAAGGACTTGAGCACATTCACATCACAGGGGGGAAAGAGCCATTAGAGAGGAAGAAGATGAAGTACAGAAGAGAAAAGATATGATTGGTAGTCCAACATTTTGCCAGGAATGTGTTACCCCTTACTGGAATTCTCCTCCATGCCATCTTTACCTGGTTAATGTCTGCTAATCCTTCACCTACCAACTTAACTGCTGCTTCCTCAGTGACTTACCTTATTCTGTTAGTCATCACACCTGCAATAACCTGCTTAACACCTATTGCCACTGCTAGTCTAGACACTCTGAGAAGGCAAAGACTATGAATGTCTTGTTCCCAGCACTAGCACAGTGCCTGGCACATAGAAGATGATCAAATATTTATCGGATCACAGTGTAATTACATTCCTGGTGAGTAGCAGTTCTATATATTGACAAATCAATATATATATCAATTCTATATATCAAATATAATACACTACCAATTCTAACTTCTCAAATGGTTTTCCACCATGTCTATTTGGCTGTCTCAGGTTGAGTTAATATTAGGACTACGTAATAGCACGGAGGAGAACATGGCACATGTGAAGGAAGAAAAGTTAAGAGGCATTTCCTTGGCGGGGAGTGGGTTGGACCTTGTGTTTCCTTCTCCATCTTACTTCCTTACCAATATCTAAGCTACAGCTGCCTGAGTCTTTTTACCTCACTCTCAGACCCCAAATAATTCTCTATGAGTAACTAATAGGCTAGATTACAAGGCTTTCTGGGGGCTGGATTAGTTAGAGTAGTGTGGTATTCGTTACTGTTTCCCAGCTTTTATTTGGGTAAGGATCTACTTGGAAAATGGATCCTCAAAGGAGATGTGTGCCTCTACCACCCTGAAGTTTCTGGAGAGACCATGCTATTTATCGATGCTTCCTCAGTGCCTCAGGCAAGGCCTGGCACATAGCACTCAATAAATATTTGATGAAAGCATGAGCAATCAGGTTCACTTTTTGTGGGATGCATTTATATCAGGCTGCCTGATCCTACTTTCATCTTTCGGAAGGAGGCAACTCTCCCACATGGCCATGCATGGCATAGGTCATTTGCCCAAGTTTTGGATTTGGCGGGGGCTGGTGGGGAATTGGTAGCCTCCTTATTATCCTGTACCTCTCTTCTTCTGAAGTCTGTGCTTATGAATATTTCTAAGGTAATATCAAAAAAGAGTGCTCCTCGTGATGTGTTTGGTTGTGAGTGGAAGGAAGTTATAAACCAAACCTCTTGATAAAGTGTTCTCATTATATTTTTGGCTCTGTTTTGCAGACCTTGCACTTTAAGCATTGGGCACTTACTTGGATTGAATCAAAATGCCAAACTGTAATGGTTTTGAATGTCACTGATTCTAATCCAGATATGGGTGAGAAGCAGATGGTGTGAATGGCGATTATAGGATCCAGAGCAAACAGTGCTGTCTCAAGAGAGGTCATTTAGAAGCACTGGAGCTGACAGTTTGCGAGTTGTGGGCCAAATCAGCACTGTGAAGAGTGCATTTTGCCTTCCTTTGATGGCAGAGTGCTCTAAAGTGGAGCAGCCTCCTCTCCATTAAGATCATCAAGCTCTCTGGCAGTCCCTTCATAGGGAAGGTTAGAGTCTCAGAGGCAGAAAAGCTAAGCACTAGATTTCTTTCCACCACCTATATGCTGGTCTCATCTCCCCATCATCACACCACCATCCTAGTAACTGTGATATCTGGGTGCC